AGGATTAAATAAATAAGCTCTTACATAAATACTGAAGATTAGCTTTGTCAGCAAGGAAAATAAAACGGCTAGTGCGGGAGTTTTAAATACTTTCTTAAAGCCTGGTGTGATGGCATATGCCTGTAATCCCAGCACTTAGGAGGCAGGAAGAGCCAGAGTGATTGTGAGTTCAAGGGCAGCTTGAACTAAATCGTGACACTTGTGTCTTGACACCTAGATGAATGAATGAGGGGTTTAAAATTGCTTGTAATGGAATCAGAATCAAAATCCCCTGACCAGCTAGAGCAGAAAGTCTTAAGCCACCTCCCACCCCCCACTCTCACCCCCCCACCCCCCCATCCCCACTGCCCTTGGGCACAGGCTCCAGCTGAGTCTGAATTGCCAGCAACCACAGAGGCGACAGAATGTCCACTTTGAATTCAGTCAAATGAACTGTAAGCTAAAAAGGAAACGAATGTTCTTTGGGAGAACATAGTAGCATCCAGAGCAGCTACAGTGTATCATTCACCACATGCAACACCACCAAAACCTGCTCAAAGTCAAGGGAACACCACTGTTCTAAGGGAAGGTAAATGAGCAGAGACCAACTCCAATATGACCGGCACAACCAGGGTTGAGAGTATGATGGAATGTTCCTCATAAATAAGAGAACAGAAATTTTTCTGGGAAAAAGAAATTTTTAAAAGGACAAAGTAGGTAGGCATGGTGGCACACACCTTTAATCCCAGCATTCGGGAGGCAGAAGCAGGCAGATCTTTGTGAGTTCGAGGCCAGCTTGGTCTATATAGTGAGTTCCAGGGTGGCCAAGGCTGTTACACAGAGAAACCCTGTCTCAAAAAACAAACAAACAAACAAAAAAAAAACAATAACAAAAAAAGAAAAGAAAAAGAAAAAACAAAGAAAGAAGAAAAGAAAAAGGTAGAATTCTACAAATAAAACTATCAAAATAAGAAAAAAAAATTTAATCACTAGAGACCCTTAAAAACAGAAGAGAAGGGCTGGGGTGTGGCTCAGTGGTAGAGCATTTGCCTAGAGTCCCCCAGTGAGGAGCTGGGGGTGTGGCTCAGTGGTAGAGCATTTGCCTAGAATCCCCCAGTGAGGGGCTGGAGTGTGGCTCAGTGGCAGGGCACTTGCCTAATATGCACAAACTTTGGGTTCAATTCTCCAGCATGCAAGAAACAAACAAAAGATCCCTCCAAAACTAAAAAAAGAATATGGAGAAGAAAGTTCATCTTATTTTGATTTATTCTTTACTTTCTGTACACTGGGGTTGTACCCAGGGCCTCAGGCATGCTGGTCACGTGCTCTACCAGAGCTACAACCGCAGCCTGTTTCATTTTTAAAGTTTACAGCTTACACACAGTTTAAATTAGTTCAAGTAAAGGCTGAAGACGTAGCTCGATGGTTAGAGGTCTTGGTGTTGTTGCAGAGGACCTGAGGTCCAGTTCAGAGCACACCACATGACTCCCAACTGCATTGTAGTTCCAGGGAATCTAGCATCCTCTTCTGGCCTCTGGCGACCCTTGCATGCACAAGGCATACACGAACACGTAAATTAGTAAGTAAACAAGTAAATAAAGAAATCTTTTGGAAGAGAGAGATTCCAAGTATACTAGCTTATAGAAGAAAAAAATCTATTCCTTTACCCCAAACTTCTGTCCTACTGGAGTACTGAGAAGGAATCCCCATCATCAGTGGAATGTTACTCTTTCTTTGTATGTGAGTGTGTGTGCTTGTGTGTTAGTGGTGTGTGTGTGTGTGTGTGTGTGCGCACGCACGCTGTATGTACATAAGTAAACAAGATGTGGAAACATGAAGCAATTTGCTAATTTAAAAAGCGAAAGACTCCTGCGATCTGTCTTGGTCTCTGATGGCGTTTCTCTGACTTCACTCTGTGTTTTGACCATCCTTCATATCACTGTGTAGAGGACTCTCATGATTGCTTATTTATTTGATCATTTATTAAGCTAGCATGCAAAGTAAAAGGTTCCATCATGGCATTTCAACACGTGTGCCTCAATACTTTGTTCTAATTAATCCTCCCCAGGCAAGGTGATGATGCATGTCTGTAACCCGGCTCTTGGAAGGTAGTTAGTTGCAAGAAGATCAGAAGTTCAAGGTCATCCTCAGCTACATAGTGAGTTCAAGGGCAGCCTGGGCTACTTGAGACCTTGCTTCAAGCAAGCAAATAAGCACTGTATGGTGGATGGGTACATTTGCCCGCATGTGCCATCCTGGGTTCCATTGCTAACTCTGCAAACAAACAAACAAACAAACAAAACAGAACCAAACCCAAAAAACAAAAACAAAACAAAACAAAAAACAGCGTTAGCACAGCAGCAACAAAGAAAGTAAAGAAAAGAAAGAGAAAGAACCACTTCCTCCCAAACCCTACACAGAGATGAATGGCGAAGATTCTGTTACTGGTGGAGTTGTCGGGTCAAAGGGTAGGGGTTAAAATTTAACGGAGACTGGAATTGGCCTCCATAAGGCAATATAATGGCACACACCTGCCGATATGGTGTGCACACGCCCACCCGTGGTGGAGTCCTGTACTTCCATGACTCCTGTGTAAACAACACTACAGTCAGAGTTCTTCAAGTATTTGTTTGATAGCATCTTAAAACTTTCCCTGGTTGCCTATAAGATTAATACATATGAAATTATGTAATGTTTTCACCCTGCATTATCTTTCTCACAGTGTCTCATGTATATATTTCTTTGTTTGTTTGTTGGGTTTCTCTGTGTAGCTTTGGAGCCTTTCCTGGAACTCACTCTGTAGACTAGGTTGGCCTCGAACTCACCTGCCTCTGCCTCCTGAGTGCTGGAATTAAATTAGGTGTGTGTCCACCACCCGGCCTGATATATTTTTATATCCTTTTATTTTAGTTTTATTTGTGGTTTTGTTCTGCCCATATTTTTTTTGTTTGTTTTGTTTCCCTTTTTCTTTTTTGTTTTTGTTGTTGTTGTTGTTGTTGTTTTGTTTTGAGACAGGGCTTCTCTGTGTAGCCCTGGCTGTCTTTGAACTTGCTCTGTAGACCAAGCTGGCCTCAAACTCAGAGATCCACCTGCCTCTGCCTCCTGAGTGCTGGGATCAAAGTCATGAGCCACCACCACCACCCGGCTCATATTTCTTTTTTTTTAAGAATTTAGTGAGTTTGAGTGTCTTACATACATACATACATACATACATATATATATATATATATATATATTTGTCTTACATACATATATATATGCAGTGCTTGAGAAGGCCAGAAGAGGGCATCAGATTCCCTGACTGAAGTTACAGATGGTTGTGAGCTGTCACGAGGGTGCTGGGAATTGAACTAGGGTCTCCTGGGAGAGCAGACAGTGTTCTTAACCACTGAGCCATCTCTCCAGGCCCTGTACTTCTTTGAAATAGCAAGTAGCTGTCCTTCTTGATTGTGTTTCTAATAGGGCTGAAATGGAAGAAAGTCTAAGTGATTTGTTAACAACAACAAATCATGGACTGGCAATGCTTTAAAGCTGGTTGGCTGAGTGCGGTGGCGCATGCTTGAGATCCTAGCTCTTGGGAGGCAGAGCGATGCCCCGTCTGAAAAATCAAGGGTTGGAGGAGAATACAGGCTTAACATTGCAAGATCTGGGCTTGGTCCCCAGCAGCGTGAAAAGCAAAACTAAACAAAAAAATCCCATTGCTGTCTGTCATCTTTGCTTAGCATTCCACTACAAAGAATCTATTGGCTGGGCGGTGGTGGTGCACACCCTTAATCCCAGCACTCAGGAGGCAGAGGCAGGCTGATTTCTGAGTTCAAGGCCAGCTTGGTCTACAGAGCGAGTTCCAGGACAGCTAGGGATACACAGAGAGACACTGTCTTGTAAAACCAAATCAAAACAAACCAAAAAACAAAAGAGAACTTTGCCCGACCAAATCCTTTATCATATTTAATAATATAACAATAGCTATTAACTCACCCTCTTTTCTTCTCAGTGAGCTATGCTTGAGTTTATTTATGCTGTCCTATGATGTTTCTATTTTTATTTCTAACTAGAAATAAATCTATTCAGGTATTGACTCATTTTGAATGTCTGAGACAGAGTCTCAGTTTGTAGCCCAGGCTGTCCTTGAACCTGCAACCTTGATTCTTAGCCTTCTAAGTACTAGACTCACAGAAGTGGCCCACCACGCCTAACTTGTCTTTGTTTTTTACACTTAAAACATTTTTATCTGCTTTAAATGAGCAGGACTTTTGTCTTAGTTAGGGTTATCATTGCTGCAATGAAACAGCATGACCAAAAGCAACTTGGGAGGGAAGGATTTATTTGGCTTACACTTCCACATCATAGTCCATCACTGAAGGAAGTCAGGGAAGGAACTCAAGCAGGGCAGGAACCTGGAGGCAGGAGCTGATGCAGAGCCCATGAAGGGGTGCTGCTCACTAGCTTGCTCCCCATAGCTTGCTCAGCCTGCTTTATTATAGAAGCCAGGACCAGCAGCCCAGGAGTGGAACCATCTACAGTGGGCTGGGCCCTCCCCATTAATCACCAATTAAGAAAATGTTCTACAGGCATGCCTACAGCGGATCTTTGGGAGGTGTTTTTCTTACTTGAGGGTCCCTTGTCTTTGATGACTTTAGCTCAAGGCAAATTGACATAAAACTAGCCAGGATAACTTTCTCCATTGAATTCCTCTGGGAATTTGAAGATAGAGAATTTGGGGCTGGAGAGATGGCTCAGTGGTTCAGAACACTTGTTGCTTTTCCAGAGGATTTGGGTTTGGTTCCCAGCACCCACATGGAAACTCACAACCATCCATAAGCCCATTTTCATGGGACCGGATGCTGTCTTCTGACCTCCTCAGGCAGCAGCCATGCAGCCAGTGCACATACGTGGGGGTCAGTCAAACACACATGCACACGCACTAAAAGTAATTTTTAAAACATCTCTAATTTTTCTTAACTAAAAAAAAGAATACATAGAGTTTATAAATCCTCCATTTTCTCCAATTACAATCCCAGTTTAAAGACATCTTTCTGCCAACCCCAAGAGTCATGTGACCTCTATTTCCTCCCTGAAGAAGAAGAAGAAGAAGAAGAAGAAGAAGAAGAAGAAGAAGAAGAAGAAGAAGAAGAAGAAGAAGAAGAAGAAGAAGAAGAAGAACTTAGTGGGATTCACTTCCCTCTCTCTGTCCTCTCCTACCTCTCAAGCTTACATCATTTAAACTCGGCTTCCAAACTGTTTTACAAACCGCTAGCCTGTACCCGCAAACACGTACAGGTATCATGTCACAATAAAAAATTTAAGGTTTATTTTTAATTGTGTGTATGCATATGTTCAAATGTGAGTATGTGCACACGAGTTCAGGGGCCCATGGATGCTTCCTGTCTCCTGATGTTGGAGTCACATGATGATGGCGGCTGTGAGCTGACAGAGATGGATGCTGGAAACCCAACTCCACTAGAGTAACACAAGCTCTTAATCACTGAGCCATCTCTCCAGCCCCCAAATCAAAACTTTTTTCTTTAAACTAAAAAGCCGTCAACGGTCTAGACTCAATTATAAGTGCACACACGTGTGCAAGCACACCCTGGCTCAGTGTCACACACCTTTCTCATAGATTCGCTTTTGACCCTGGAATTCTTCCCTTACTGAACTTCAGGGGTGATGTCAATAGTCAGTTTTAAGTCTTTGAATAACTGAAAAGGTCTCTTTGTTTGTTGTTTGGAGACAGGGTTCTTTGTGTAGCCTTGGCTGTCCTGGATCTTGCTCTGTAGACCAGGCTGGACTTGAACTCACAGAGAAATGCCTGCCTCTGCCTCCTGAGTGCAGGGATTAAAGGCGTGCGCTGCCACTCTCGGCCCTGAAAATGTCATGTGCTTTCTAGTTGAATGCGGCTGGATTTGGTGGACGCCTGAGGTTTACATAGTGAGCATCTTTGAGGGCTATCTATACGCCACACTGCCTTCGAATATCAGCCAAAGTCCAAAGTGAGATACGACGCTAATAGGGGTCTTGCTGCCTCGTGGGTAATCTGCTCACCACCCCTTTCTCTCTCCCTCTGTCTGTCTGTCTGTCTCTGTCTCATCTCTCTCTCTGTCTCTCTGTCTCTCATGTGTGTGTCTGTGCATGCGTGTGTGTGTGTGTGTGTGTGTGTGTGTGTGTGTATGTGTGTCTGTGTGTGTCTGTGTGTGTGTGTGCGTGTGTGCATGCGTGTGCGTGTGTGTCTGTGTGTGTGTGTGTGTGTGTTTTAGAGGATGAGCTTTTTCTTTATCCTTCCCCCTTCTCGTCATTATCCATCTACTTTTCCTTCATTACTCTATCCAAACAGCTTTTTCTTGGCACGCCGGGATAAAATAAAAGGCCTTGTGTACACCAGGCGAGTGCTCTGCCAGGGAATGGCATCCCCAGTCCTTTCCTTTCTCGCTACTGTTGGGACAAGGGAAGTGACCCACCCTCCCTGGGGCGAAGTCTTTTCTTCCCGTCTGTCCACTTTCCCTCACCTTCTCCGTACACCACTGACAGCATGACCCTGGGAAGGTCTCCCAGTTACAGACAAACAAACAAAAGCACCCGGTACCTCTCTCCGGCTCTCACCCTTCCTACTAAACTCTAGCTCTTTGGGTTCCCCCTCCCTTTGGTTTTGTTTGTCTGAGACAGGCTCTCATCCCCAGAGCACACTGTGAAGGCCGGGCCAGCCTCCAGCTCACCACAGTGCTGATGCATCAGCCTCCTAAGGACCAGGGTTAGAGGTGTGAGCCACCATACCCGGCTCATTTCCGCAGTTCTCCACAGTTCTCGAATCTTCGTTCACAACTAAGTTTTATGACTGAAGTGACTCTACCTAACACCTCGTGAGCTCGCTCACCATGGCGTTTGCATCCTAGTCCAACAACAGCCCTTGGTGAGGAAAGATCTTGGTGCTTACAGATCCAGTAGCCTCCTCCGGCTCCTCGCCTCCATTTCCTCCAGGGCAGCATGGACATTCTTCATTTGTGGACTTCTTTCTTCTCTGATCTTCAAGCTGTTGTGTCCCAGCTCTTCCTCCCCAGGTTCAGATCTTGGTTGTCTTCTCTATTCCATTTGTCTGTCTTCTATTTATATAGTAAAGTATAGACATTTTATAAAGTAAAGACATTTTTTCCTCTCACAATATTGTAGACTGGAAATTTTGGCAGTCCCATGTATTTGACCTGTGGTCAGGACTTCATATAGGATGACAAAACAGTGGTGGTGGTGATGGTGTGGTGGTGGTGATGGTGTGGTGATGGCTGTGGTGGTGGTGATGGTGTGGTGGTGATGGCTGTGGTGGTGGTGATGGTGTGGTGGTGATGGCTGTGGTGGTGGTGATGGTGTGGTGGTGATGG